TTCACATAAACCACCATAACCAACTTTCCATTTTTGACTCAAATTTTGAATTCTTGCCTTGTTTGCTCTTTGCACGAATTTGGGTAGGCCCATAATGATGTTTCAAGGCTAGTTAAGGCCAAATATTCCCTCTTAAATCAATTTTTGAATTTCTTTTGATTTTAAAAGATTTAAAACTAATTAAATCCAATAAAAATCAATAAAAATGAAAAAATTAATAAAAAAATCTGAAATAAAAGGTGGGACACGTGGGAAGCATGGTCAAGTTAATTCAAGTGGAAAAAGTGGGCCCCTTTTGTCAAAAATGAGATTTCAAGGATAAATGATTTTGGCCATTTCACAAAAATTTCCCAACTTCTCCAATGCATAACTTGCTCAATTTTTAATATTTGCTCATGTTCTTGGACATTTTGGAAAGGTGTTTGAGTCCTCTAACCAATGCCTTTGGTCCCATGTCATTTCGATGTACCAATCTCAAGTTATGGTCTTTGACTTAAAGTCCTTTTTTGTTGACTTTTGAAAATGACCTATAATGTTGAAATTGATAACTTTTTGTGAGAGCATTTCTTGGACTTGAAGTATGAAGATGAGTTTTAGGAAATGTCTTTCTCTTCAAAATGAGCTTTGGATGGAATTTTTCTGATAATCCATGTGAAAGTTATGCCTTGGTCAATTTCAGTTGACTTTTTCAGCTGTCCAAAAATAGAAACTTTTGCATCTTGATGATTTTTGAGCCAAATTTTGAGAATCATGATCAAGCATTGATCAAATGATGTTTGTGGCTTCAAAATGAGATGTTGACCAAAAATTTGAACTTTTGACTGCCAAATGACCATTTTGCCCCTACAGTTGACTGTAGTGCAATTAGGGTTTTGACTGTGCAATTTTGTGCTGAAAGTCTTGAAACTTGACATGTAGGTGCTTGACAATGTTTATGTGCATGGGAGACTTGATTGAGGCCTTGAAAACTTCAGCTTCCTTGTGAGAACCAAAACCCTAGTTTGACTGGCTTCAGGAGGATGGTTGACTGTGTAGCCTTTGAGTAGACTTGAACCAATTGTGGATGATTCTTGTCAAAACTTTGAAGGTTATGGGAGGGCAAATTTTGGGGTACAACAAGGAGCCTTAGAGGTTAAAGTGTAGGTGCAGAGTAGCCGCATGCTAGGTGACAACCTTGGAGAAGGCATCCCTGAATGCATGTAACACTATTGGACGTGAAGGGAGGCGCCATTGGACTTGGCGAAAGAGTACAAAAATGAAAGGTGTCGCCATCCCCATTGGCGAATAAGAGGTGGCATGGGTTGTAGAGTAGGCGCAGGCTAGGTGACAGCCTTGAAGAAGGCATCCCTGAATGCATGTAACATTATTGGACGTGATGGGAGGAGCCTTAGAGGTTACATTGTAAGTGCAGAGTAGGCGCACGCTAGGTGACAGCCTTGGAGAAGGCATCCCTGGATGCATGTAACACTATTGTACGTGATGGGAGGAGCCTTAGAGGTTACAATGTAGGTGTAGAGTAGGCCCAGGCTAGGTGACAGCCTTGGAGAAGGCATCCCTGAATGCATGTAACACTATTGGACGGGAAGGGAGGCGCCATTGGACTTGGAGAAAGAGTACAAAAATGAAAGGTGTCGCCATACCCATTGGCGAATAAGAAGTGGCATGGGTTGCAGAGTTGGCGCATGCTAGGTGACAGCCTTGAAGAAGGCATCCCTGAATGCATGTAACACTATTGGACGTGATGGTAGGAGCTTTAGAGGTTATAACCTTAGTTAATTCAAATTCAGTATGATCTATTTAGTCTAACATTTATCAAAACACTGATTCACTTAATCTCTCAAACACTAGAACATTCAAAAATTCCTGCAAATAACTCATAAACTTCAAACCTTCCAACCTTCAAACCCTCAAACAGTCATACGCAATAGCCTCTGCACCCCAATATGTCATCAGTGCACATTTCAACGGTGAGACATACATTTGTCCCACCTCTGGGTTTTTGTTTAGAGACACAGACAACATCCAATTTTGTTTAAACAGGAAAGCCAATTTCTTGTAATTCAAAAAACGATTGTAGGCTAAACTTGGACGAGGCCCGGTGACACAAATATTTTATCAGAATCCGGTTTTTTTTGGTAACAACCAAATAATATTTTATAAGGTTGAGGTTCAAGATGACGAGGATATTCAGAATATGTTTTCCAGTCATGAGTATTCTGGGTACGACTCTATTGAGTTGTACATTATGCTGCGAGAGCCTCTAGTGACACAAGTGGTTGATCCTTTGGAGACCGAACAAGCAGAAGTAGATGCAGTTGATGAAGAAGAAGAAGATGACGAGTTGGAGTTTGACGAAATGGTCAATGATGATTCTGAAGACGATGGGATACCTGGTATTCCTGCAAACGAGATCTACACACCACCTCTGCACATGAAAAACTTCAACATGGGTGGAGATGAATCGTCTTCTGATTTATTTTTCAATCCGTATATGCAGTCGGATGAAAACTTAAAAGAGAAAGACAAATTTCGTAACAGAGAAGAATGTATCAGAGCCATAAAAAAATTCCATATGCTCAACTCGGTCGATTTGGTGGACCTTGTAAATCCAGAAAGGTACAAGATCAAGTGTGTCCACCCTGATTGTATGTTCAAGCTCACTGCATCATACAAATTAAGAGGTGATTGTTGGGTCATAGGTTTCATGTCTACCCACACTTGTGTCAGTTCTATTCAATCACAGGATCATCGAAAACTTAATTATGATCTCATTTGTCAAGAAATCCTACCACTCGTCAGCAACGATCCATCTTTGAAGGTGAAAACCATCATCTCCCACATCACTACAGTATTTAACTATACTCCGTCTTACTGTAAGGCGTTGTTAGCAAAGACCAAGGCGATTGAAAAGGTATATGGAAACTGGGAGGAGTCATACCAAGAACTTCCTCGCTACCTGAATGCACTCCAGACTTATTCTCTGGGTACTATTTACATTCTGGAAACAGTGCCAGCATACGCCCCGGATGGTGGTCAACTCAACGAAAATGGAATATTTAGTCGAGTGTTTTGGGCTTTTCAACCTTGCATCACAGGGTTTGTGTCATGCAAACCAATTATACAAATTGATGGGACTTGGTTGTATGGGAAATACAAAGGCACGCTACTGATGGCACTTGCACAAGATGGCAACAACAACATTTTCCCAATTGCCTTTGCCCTAGTCGAGGGGGGGACTGGTGGTGCTTGGAGCTTTTTTCTCAAAAATCTGTGAACACATGTGGCTCCTCAACCAGATCTCTATTTGATCTCAGATAGACATGCATCCATTGAAAGTGCATATAATAATCCTGCAAACGGTTGGAATGACCCTCCTTCTACGCATGTCTATTGCGTTAGACATATCGTCCAAAATTTCACGAGGGAAATCAAAGACAAAACACTTAGGAAAGCGGTTATGAATGCGGGCTATGCATTGACACAACCTACGTTCAAATATTATCGCAACGAGATCCGTTTGTCAAATTCAGAAGCCGGTAGGTGGATCGACAATATTCCGGTAGAAAAGTGGATTAGGTCATACAACAATGGCCAAAGATGGGGACACATGACAACAAATCTAACTGAATCGATGAATGGGTTATTCAAAGGCATATGAAACCTCCCGGTCACTGCTCTGGTAAAATCAACATATTTTAGAATGGCTTCGTTGTTTGCCAAAAGGGGTGAAATATGGAATGCAGTGTTGCAATCTGGACAACTATGGAGTGAAAGCTGCATGAAGTACATTAAGGCAGAAAGTGCCAAAGCCAACACCCATATGGTTATACGGTTTTACCGACACAACCACAACTTCATTGTCAAAGAGACAATTGACCATAACGAGGGCCTGCAAAGATAAGAATATAAGGTTGTACTACCTTCTCATTGGTGCGATTGTGGCATGTTTCAAGCCTTTCGTATGCCTTGCTCTCATGTCATTTTCGCGTGTGCCTATACTCATCAAGACGCGCTACAACTTCTGTCACACGTTTACAAATCTGAAACGTTGCTCAACGTTTACAACAACAACTTCCCTTTGGTAGCAAAACTAGATTATTGGCCTGCATACGACGACGAAATAGTATGGAACAATGACCAGATACGAAGGAATAAAAAGGGTCGTCCCAAAAGTAAGCGCATCACAACTGAAATGGACTCCCTTGGCAAGCTGGAAAGAAAGTGTGGTTTATGTCGTCAGGTCGGACACAATCGCAAAAATTGTCCGAATCGGACTACTGCCTCAACCACATAAAAAATGTATTACATTAAATTTTTCCTTTATTATGTTGTAAACATTAGGGTTTTTCGTTAACAGTATTTGTTACAATAAACATTGCGCGAATAAGAAAAAAAACACGATAATTCGTCTACGAAATTACAACTGTTAAAACAATATCATCTGACCCATGCATCATCAACATTAGGCCGCTGTCTGTTTTGACTTCCTCATACCAAAAATTAGGTCTTCCTGTCGCAAGTGAGGTTGTTGTTCGTCTTTGCTGGATCCTTCTAATTTTCCCCCCTCCACGATGTCTCCTTCTAGCCATCGCATCAACTCCCGCTTCAGACGCTCCATGAAGTGAATGTGCCAGAATTTCATTTTTATCGGAGGTTTCGTGGCGGACAAGATAACGTAACCATCTCTGATAAAAATCATGGGCGATGTCATGATGCAAATAACAGAGTAAAAACTAAGAAAATAGTGCGAGAAAGTGTGAGAAAAGACGGAGAAACGAACGAATTATTTATAAAAACAGCATTTTGCCCTAGGAGACAAGTGAGATGGCGCCTCCTCTCACTTTTAAAGTGCATGTGCCATCTCACTTGGCTAAAAGAGAGAGGAGGCGCCAAGTGAGATGACGCCTAGGGCTAATTTCTTAGTGGATGCGCCAAGTGAGATGACTCCTCCTTTGTAGAGTCATCTGAAACATGATTATTTGCGTAATTTTTTCGGAAACATGATTATTTGCGATTTTTTTTTAAAACATAGTTATTCCAAAAAAAAATTCTCAAACTCCTTGTTCTCAAACTACCACCTTCTCTCTTTGGTTCCCCTTTTCTTTTATAGTAATAACAAATGTGAAACAAAAACAACACAACATCGATTCTTTCCCTTTTGCAAACCATTCCAGACAACCAAAATGTATAGATTCGAACCATACATTAGAAAACGCAACAAAAGAGGATATAAAGAAAGAACATGTCTTCGGCGCGGATTCGGTAGCTGCGATTTGACTGTGTGAGGGATGGTGGAGCGGTTATGTCACGGTGGTCTTCGACGGTGCTGAGATCTGGTTGTGTTTCAGGTGGCTCGTCGGAGAGGGCGTGTGAGGCGATGGTTGTTGCGCGATCTGGAATCAGAGTTTTGAGGTCGCGATGGTCGCGGATCTGAAGTTGATAGGCGGTTAACTTGTGAACAGTGCGGAAGGCGGAGATATTGCACGAAGATCAAAGAGGAGCGTCGTCTGTTTCGGAAGGGCGTGTTCGGAAGTGGTGCGTCACCGTTGTCTGTTGTTGTTTGGAAACGCGAATCTGTGCGAGGATTTTTGATGTCAGATTTTGAGTTTTCCACTTCTTTCCTTCTTTTTTAGGTTATGTTGTCCTTTGTGAGATGTTGCAAGTTTTGTTTTGAGGTTTATGTGAATGAAGAAATGGGATTATGAGTTAGGATTTTGAAGGTTAATGTTATGGTGATTTGGATAAAAATGATTGACCAAAAAAGGGGTAATATTGTTGTAAGTGTGTATGAATTGGAGTAGAAAATACGTGCATGTAAGGTTAGTTGTGTGGAGAAAAGCTTTATGTGTATATGGACCAAAAATTGTGAATAAGGATTGACCAAAACAAGTTTATGAACGGTGTGTGGAATTGTTTTCAAGAGTTACAAAATTGTTAATTTTTTGTGGCTATGTACGTGATGAAACAAAATAATAGGGATTGGTGAAGTGTGTAGTTTACTGAATAAAATGTGAAAAATTGGCGTTCGCAAAAGGTTAGTAAACAAAATATAATTAAACTAATAATTATCAAATAATATATTCATACAGTAGAAATAATTAATAAATTTACAAGGGACTACCATCATGTTCATTATTTGGTATAAATAAATTAAAATAAAGAAATTGTTGTTGTTGTTGTTGTTGTCTGATATAGACAACAACAATGTTATGAACCTTAAAATAAATTAAAACAAAAGCTTGAATTTTTTATGATTGTGAAATTGTTGATCTTGTAGGTGAAATTGTTAATGAAAAATTAGGACAATAATGAGTCATATTTATAGACTTATAATTAGGTTAAATATACTTGGAGAATAAGTTATCCAAAATAAATGAAAAATTCAAAGTCTGATCTCCAAAAAAAGAAAGAACATTAGTGAAAGAAAAGAATAGAAATTTTTTAAAAGTACACCACAAGAGATTCAAACTCGTGACCTTATGCTTCCCAGCTATGCTTCCTTATCAATTATGCCATGTTATTTATTTAAAATAAAAAGTCAATTGAAAGTATATGAAGACGGATAATTATTTGCTATTTTTTAAAAATAAAAATAATTATATTTTAAAATAGAGTTGAAAGCGAATATTTATTAAAATCCCCAAAATGTTAATGTAATTAAACCAAAGGAGTTTTAAAACCCAAGTTCGAAAATAAATTTGACGGTAGCACTAAGGACGGGAAAATTTGGGGTATGACATCATGCAAATCCTTACAGGTAACAACCATCTTTTGGATAATCTTCTTAATATTTTTATTAGCAACTTCAGCATCCCCATTCATCTTAGGAATGTAAGAAGATGAGTTGTGATGAACAATCTTAAATTCTTCACAAAGTTCTGTCATCATCTTGTTATTCAAATTTGAGCCGTTATCAGTGATAATTCTGCTTGGCACGCCATATCGACATATAAGATTATTCTTGATAAAGTGTACTACTACTTGTTTGGTGACGTTAGCATAAGAAGCTACTTCCACCCACTTGGTGAAGTGGTCAATTGCCACTAAGATGAAATTATGTCTGTTCGACGTCTTGGGTTCAATCATTCCAATCATATCAATACCCCACATAGAAAAAGGCCACGGGGAAGAAATAACATTGAGAAGCATTGGAGGCACATGGATCTTGTTAGCATAAATCTGACATTTGTGGAACTTCTTTGCAAATTTGTAATAGTCAGATTTCATTGTCAGTCAGTAGTAACCTTCTCTAAGCATCTTATTTTTCATCTAGTGTCCATTGGCATGGGTACCAAAAGAACCTTCATGGATTTCACGCATCAACATGTCTGCTTCATTTCTATTCGTGCATTTGAGCAAGACCATGTCATAATTTCTCTTAGATAACACATCTTCATTGAGGAAAAATCTACTTGCCAACCTTCTCAATGTCTTTCTATCTTTGTTCGATGCACCAACCGGGTATTTCCGATTCTGGAAAAAGTGCTTGATATCATAATGCCAAGGTTTTTTATTTGACTTCCCCTCTGTAGCAAACACATGAGCTGGTTTATCAAGACATCAAACTGTAATCTGAGGTACATTGTTCCAAGCATTTACTTGGTACGTGGAAGCCAAAGTGGCTAAAGCATCCTCCATTTGATTCTCATCTCTGGGAATATGATGGAATTCGATTTTATTGAAGAAAATAATAATCTTCTTGCATAATCTTTGTAGGGAATCAAGCCAATATGGCGACTCTCTCATTCTCCTTTGATCTGATTTATTACCAAAGCCGAATCTCCATATACAACAAGAATTTTGATTCAGAGATATATAGCCTCTTAAAGACCCATGATACAAGCTTCATATTCCTCCATGTTATTGGTACAATAAAAATATCAACCTTACAGTAAAAGGGATATGTGACCCATGGGAAGTGCTAATCACATCACCAATTCCTTTTCCATAAGCATTTACAGCTCCATCAAACACCATACTCCACCAAGATTCAGGATCAAGACCTTCCTCAGGCGAAGGTTCATCACAATCTTTAACTTTCAAATACAACACATCCTCATCAGGGAAATCATACTTAGCAGACTGATAAGCATCAACTGGTTGGTGAGCAAGGTACTCTACCAACACACTTCCTTTAATATTCTTCTGAGTACGGTATTCAATATCATATTCAGACAACAGCATCTGCCAACGGGAAATTCTTCCAGTAAGAGCAGACTTTTCAAAAATATACTTAATTGGATCCGTTTTGGAAATCAACTAAGTAGTATGATTCAACATATATTGCCGCAATCGCTTTGTCGCCCAGGCCAAAGCACAACATATTTTTTCTAGCATAGAATACTGTGACTCACAATCAGTGAACTTCTTGCTCAGATAATAAATGGCATATTCTTTTCTTCTTGTTTTATCTTGTTGTCCCAAAATATAGCCCATGGAGTTATCCAACACAGTCAGATACATAATCAATGGCCTTCCTTCAACTGGAGGGAGAAAGATAGGAGGATCAAGCATATACTATTTAATGCTTTCAAATTCCCTTTGGCAATCATTCTTCCATATACAACCTCGATCTTTCTTCAATAGTTTGAAGATTAGTTCACATGTTGCAGTCATATGAAAAATAAATTTGGAAATGTAATTCAAACGTCCAAGGAAGCCTCTAACTTGCTTTTCAGTTCTTGGTGTAGGCATTTCTTGAATTGCCTTAACTTTATCAGGATCAACTTCAATTCCTTTTTGGCTGATAATGACATCTAGCAACTTTCTTGAACAAACACCAAAAGTACACTTATTTGGATTCAAGTGGAGACGATACTTCCTCAAACGCTGAAACAATTTCAATAAGTCTTCTATATTCCCTTCCTTAGTCTGAGATTTGATGATCATATCATTAAAATATACCTCAATTTCCTTATGCATCAGATCAAGGAATAGGGTTGTCATATCCCTCAGGTACGTTGCACCAGCGTTCTTCAACCCGAAGGGCATCACTCTGTAACAAAATGTTTCTTGGGGTGTAATAAACGTTGTTTTTTCCATGTCCTCAAGAGCCGTGAATGAGAACACTTTGAATTTTTCTGTGCTATAAACCAACATATCAATATATGGCAATGGAAAGTCATCTTTCGGACTTGCTTTATTTAAATATCTATAATCAACGCACATGCGGACCTTTCCATCCTTCTTTGGTGATGGAACAATATTGGTAATTTACTGAAGGTACACTGATGTCACAAGAAAACCAACATCAATATGCTTTAAAACCTCTTACTTAATCTTCACTGCCATGTCAGGATGAGTTCTTCGCAACTTCTGCTTGATTGGTGGACATTCTGGCTTTAGCGGCAAATAATGTTCCATAATATCGGTATCGAAACCAGGAATTCTTGATAAGATCAAGAAAAGATATCCACATACTTTTTCAGCAATTCAATCAATCTACTCTTCACATCGGGATGAAGCAACACCCCAATCCTGACTTCTTTCAAATCTTCTTCAGAACATAAATTAACCATTTCAAATGGCTCTTTATATGGTTGAATGTAATTTTCCCCGCATTTAAGCAACGACAAAACCTCTTCTGGGATTTCATCATATTCTTCTTCCTCAACCACATGCACAAGATATTCAAAATTGGGAGAGGGTGCAGGGTCATTGCACTCAACAAGTTTTTTAATTAATCTACACATATAATTTATGATTGTTTTTAGAAATTGACACATGCAACAATGATTTATGCACATTTATTTACAGTTATTATTTATTTTGAAATGTTTTTTTTTTCTCATTACCACTTTCCATGAAAAAGCAGAAAATAAAGACATAATTTAGAAATCAAAAACAACTTTTATTAATGATTTTTAAAATCAAAACAACAAACATGCCCATACAACATCATTACTTTCACCTTGGATAGAGTGAAAGATTTTTGAAAATACGAACAAAAAAATTACTTTAATATGTGAATGCAAGAAGGAACATCAACAGTGATCCAATTCTGGACTCTAACTCCATGTGCCACGAATTTTGGTATCTCTTTCTCTGATTCATCTTCGAGAATAGCATTGATCTTTGGAGTAGTCAGATGAAGATATCCTATACTGTGAAAGATGTCTTGATATTTACTCAAAGAGAAATTTGGCTTCATAACTTTCTTATTCATGGAGAAACCCAAACTAGTCCTATTCCTGTTCACTGGTGGATTAATAACCTGCCCCCACACCTTTCTAGGGCCTTTCTGCACTACCTGCTGTGCATCCTTAAATGAGGCGATATAATCTTC